TATATATATATATATATATATATATATATATATATATATATATATATATATATATAGATATATATATATAGATATATATATATATATATATAAACTATATATGCCCCGTCTCCTTCAGCCCAATAACACCCCACTACGATACAACCAACTGCTATTATATATAATATACAGAATATATAAATATATAAATATATATATATATACAAACAAAAAAATATATAATATATATTATGTTTATTTTGTATATTATATAATATATAAGAATATAATATATTATACATAATGTATATTATACTATGTGAAAAAGATAGTAATAATAAAATAATAATGATAGTATAAAAAAACAATAAAAAAATAATATTAAAAAGCTACAAATAATATTAAAAAGATAAAAATAATAAAATAATAACAAAAGAAGAATCTTACAGACAATACAATTAAAAATATAATAATAATAAAATAAGAGTAATAGGATAATAATATTAAAAAGACAATAAAAATAAAATAATAAAATAATAAAGATAATAAGAACAATAAAATAAAATAAAAAATAAAATATTTTATTATTTTATATAACACGAAAAATGTTATATATATATATAGCATCGGCCACCGTTGCTTGTGTGTGATGCATGCAGCTATTTTATATATATTTGTTTGTTGTCTTATTTATATTTATTTATTTATTTATAGTTATTTATATATATTATATTGTATTATATTCATTTATATTTTACTAAACTTATCCTTTTTCTGTTGTCTATCTATCTGGGGCTTTAGTTCTCTCGTTGTGTCTTTTTTTTTTGTATTGTATCGAAATGTGTGTTGAATTGAAAGTTTTTTATTATCAGAATAAAATAAATAGTTTTTAATATTGTTAACTCTGTAAATATTTTTATTTTTATTTTATTTTATTTTATTTATATCTCGTTGTGTGCACGCCGCTGGCTGGCGTCTGAGTATGTGTCTGTACACCTGAAGCGATTGAGCGGTGCAAACGCCTGGATGTCAGCAAGTGGAAAGCTGCTCGAAATGCAGCTTTAATGGCACTTTAGACCATTAGTTTTGTTGTAATTAGATAAATAAAGTTATAAAGAATATAAAAACCGAAAAAAAACAAAAATTAATGATAAATCAACGGCGAATCAGCACTTATCTGCAACGCCACTGGCGCCTCACGCGCAGCCCCCTGCAAACTCTCGCTCTGCTGGTGTAGGGGTTTTTCGGGGGCGGTAGAGTGTTTTTGTTGAATCTAATTCGTGTATTTTAATTTCTTTTTGTTTTTTCTTTTTTAAAATTAAATAAATAAATCCATAGAAGGCATAGACATTTCAGTTTTATCCTTCTTTCTCACAACCATGTCTCATCAATCCCTATCTCAGCGTGCAGAGGTTCGCCCCACGCTTCTTTTTTTTCGTGTTGATGTTTTATTTGTTTGTGTATATGAATTGAATTTTAGTTTCTTTATTTTTTATCTTTAAAGTGCTTTCTTTTCTCTTTCGTTCTACCCCGGTTGCTACTCTCTGCTGTGTTTGTGTGTGTGTATGGAGTGTCACTGCAGCTCCGTGCGTAGCAGTATAAACAAGAAATAAGAAATAAGAAACAAAGACGTTTTGTCTCGCATTACTTTTTCTTTTCTTTTCTTTTCTTTTGTTTTCTCTTTTTTTTTTCAGGCCGTTTTGGCCCCTTTACGGCTATCAAAGGAGAAATTGATGGAGTTATGTACCGCGTTCCGAGACGAACTCTTACGTGTAAATCGAGATAAATACACGAGAAAGCTGCATTTTTTTTGTTTTTTTTTTTAAAAAAAAGTGAATTTCATGATTAAAATAAACAAATACTGTGAATAAACATATTTAAAACCTTGTTTTTGATTTTTTTTTTTTTTGCGTTTCAGAGAAATTCATGTTTTTTTTGTATGTGTTGCGGTGTATGTACACCTCAGGGACTTGAAATGCATAAGAAACATGGACTCAAATGGGTGCCAGAAGAGTGCTCGTTAAGAATGTTAGATTCTTGTGTTTCTGAAATTCCAACAGGCAGCGAAAAAGGAGTTTTTTATGCTCTTGATTTTGGCGGTACGAACGTGCGGGCGGTGCGCTGTGAGTTGGTGGGGGGAGGAAAGATAGTTTCTCAACAATCTCTAAAAAAGTAAATTTTATTTTATTTTATTTATTTATTTTATTTATTTTATTTTATTTAATTCATATATTCAATTTATTCTGTTCTGGACGCTTTGTTCTGTTCGTTTATCTATACTTTATCATGCAGAAATGTA